TCCTTCATGAGTGTATTTTCCAAGCACAACCAAATTCTAATGCATGAAAAATACAGGTACAAGACAATGTTAATGACTATGACCACCGGCTATAAGTACAATGTTAGGCCCTTTGGTTTAAAAAATGCAGGTACAACCTACCAGATAATGATGAACAAGATCTTTGAAGAAGAAATGAATGAAATGTTGGAGGTCTAGATGAATGATAATGTAGTAAAATTCAAGAAAGAAAAACTAAATGAAGGCCATCTTACTAATGTACCACCCGAGTATGCTAGTTTAGAATGAGATTAAATATAGAGAGATGCACATTTAGGATCAAGGAGCACAAGTTCTTCGGATTTGACGTCACTAGAAGGTAGGTTGAAAAAAATATAGAAAATGTGACACCATCATCAAGATGAGGCCTCCCTTCACCAAAGAAAGAATAACGAAGGTGCACAATATGCTTACATTCCTTAATAGGTTCATTTCAGATCAACCCACCACATCATTATGGTCAACAAACTCCTAATGAAGGAGGTATAATTTGATGGGACACTTGAGTGCAAACAAACATTTACACAACTGAAACACACTCTCTCCAAACCTTTGATCCTCTTGAGACACGTGGATGAGGAACCTTATTCATATACTTGTCAGTATTAGCAAAAGCATTCAATGCACTACAACAAATACCACTTTTCATGATGAAGCTTTCACGTCATCCAGAAAAACTTGAGGTTTTATTCCAAGGCGCACCATTCCGCACATGCTTCGAATCCCAGCTACTGCACTTTATTTTTTTATTTATTTTTTTACAAGTGTAAAATAAGTTATCTAACCCTTTGTTTTTTTTATAACCCAAGGGATAAAATAATCAGATTTTACTATGAAAACACTCGTTGAATAAATTTCACCCTAATGTTATCTTGTTTGTAGCCGCCCCACCGTCGAATGCATCATTTTTTTGGGATGGATTGCAAAATTGAAAAAAATGTTCTTCTACCTTGAAGAATTTTTTTTTCAAATTTTGCAATCCATCTTATAAAATGGTGATGATGTTATTGTTGTTGTTGTTGAAGGTTTTGAACAACTATGATGTATTCCTAAAAGTCTTCATTGATGGATCGCAAGTGCAGAAAAATCATTTTCCAAGTTTTGGAACAAACACCTTATTAGAAGTTGGATGCATTTAACCATGCACATTGTATACGCTAGTGAAGACAGTGATAATGATAGCATCAACAATAAATCTTGGATGCAAAGTTCTGACATTCAAACATCAACACTTATATGATGGATTGCAAGTGCAGAAAAACCATTGAAGAAATTTATTGTAAACAATTTATTTTAATATTATGTGTAGACAATGTAATATTAAAAAATAATAATAATAATTATCACCTCAGCTTTTAACCTTAACCGAGGTGATAGTTAAAAAAATAATAAATAATAATAACTATCATTCAGTTTTATAACCATAACTGAGGTGATAGTTAAGAAATAATAAATAATAATAATGTTACCTCGGTTTTATATTTAAACCGAGGGGTAAAATAGTCAGATTTTACTATAAAAGAAATCATTAGATTTTACTCTAATTTGTGCTAATATGAAGCCGCGCCAACTCGTATCATTATTCAGGATTTATTACAAGACAGAAAAAAATCTTCAATGTTCTTCAATCTAGAACAAAACATTTTTTCTGGCGTTGTAATCTATCTCACAAAATGGTGTTGTATTTTTTTTTTTGAGAAATGTTGTTATTGTATTTTTGCTCATTTGATAGATTGCAAGCGCGGAAAATCATTTTTTCTTCAACTTAAACAAATAAGGGAGCTCAACCTTTGAAAGTTTAAACAAAGAAGGGAGCTTAACTTTTCAGAAGATGGATATCAGCAAAACAGATCTCTAGCATCTTGTATGGAACCTGGACATGCTGTACTTTTAATATTCTAGGTAAACAATCTTGATATTTTGCGAAGAATTGTTGCATACAATGTACTTTTAATATTGTGGGTAAACAATGTACCATTTTTATAATAAAAAAAAGTAATCTAACCCCTCAGATTTATTCCAAAACTGAGAGGACAATTAAGTGTTAATTCTCACTATTTTCAACGGTCTTAAACAAATTATTGTCATCCATTTAAAGGTTATCAATGCTCAAGAATCTGCCATTACTGGTCCGCGTGAAACCTAAGGGATGTGCATTATATAAGTTCTCTTACGATATTGGAAATATAACCTAAATGAAACATATGAAGCACTTGAAATCTAAGGACGATTGGAAAAGTTCTCTACGATGGATTGCAAAAGCAGAAAATCATCTGAGTTCCAGGTTTGTTTTATTAAAAAAAATTACCGAAAATATTTTTGATTATTGATATTAATTATCTTACCTTTTTTTTTCACCAGAAACAAATGCATGCAAGATCCGTAGAGAATATTCTTGCATCCAACATTTGATCTTCACACATATTCAATAATTCGAAAATCTAAAGTCTACATCTTGAGGGAATTTGATTTTTATCTAGATCCCTAGGAAGTTTAATTTTTGTTTTAATTTTAATATTTTGGGTAAACAATTTAATATTCTGGGTAAATAATGTAATATTCTGGGTAAACAATGTAACAATTTTTGGAAAAAAAAATAATAATCACACCCATCGATTATTTTGATAAACCGAGATAAAAGATATGATCATTTTAAAAATAATAAAAGTTGTTGTTGTTGTTAGGGTTTGAATTCATGCGCTGATAAAATTTTACCTCGGTGTTTTAAACACTGAGGTGATAAGTCTTTACTTTTTATGACGACCTTATTCACCTCGCATCTAGTGCTGAGGTAAAACACATTTCACGTCCGACATTACAAACATTATTTATAGTAGTGATGTCATACTCATGAGAGAGATGTACTAGAGGGCATGGCGTTTTCCACAATATGTTTGGTTTTGATGTTGACAACACTATTAAGAGAAGTCTCCATCAACCTTGTTGTTCAATGTCTGTTAATTCATATGATATCATCTGATAAATTGATTAAGATATGATGCTTGATATGTTGATCATGTTTATAGTGCTTGATATGTTAATCATGTGATGGTGCTTGATATGATTGGTTAAGGGATGGTGCTTGAAGATCAAAATGTCATTTAATGATATGATCAAGTTATGTTTCAGTTGAAGTGTATGAAGATCATCTGATGTAGTGATAATGTGCTTGGTAAAAATTTGTGTTAATCAAGTTGTGGTGAAAATTTCCGTGGTGCTTTGAGATATAATTATCTATCTATATGTGGAATACAACACCTTATGTCAAGCGGTAAGTGAAGTCAACAAAAATATCTAATCAAACAATTTATCTGATAATGGAGGTTATCATGAAGAATTTTCTCAAGCCTCGTAAGAAGAAGATTATAGGTTCCAGTTAAGCGCTAAAGTCAAAGATAATGTCACAAGGAACCATAAGCTTCAATATTATAAAAGAGAGAAAGTGTGAAAGCTCTCCATGTCTATGTCGAGTGATCAGTGTCTATAAAGGTATAAGACTAACTCTCGAATTTACTAAGTAAAATCACACACATACATTCAACTTATTGAACAGTCTACCTTCTCTTGTGAAAATACCCTAAAACTATTTTTAGAAGCATGTCTTCTCTTTTTTAACGCCTAAAATCGATTGGAGAAGTCTCTATATCATTGGAAACAGCTAAAAATCAAAATATCTCATTTTTGGGGTGAAATAACTTGTTATGCCATTAGATTATTGGATTTTAAGGGTTAAAAAAATCATGTATTATTTTCATATCTAAGTGTAGAGGTGAAAATTTGAGATCAAAACATTGATTGAGTTGACTCATTACAGTCAAAGTCGCCACCGTGCTTTATTATTTCCAAGAAAATGGGAAAAGAGCGAAATAAAACCAAAAATAAATATGTAAAGCAAGAAGCAAAACTATAATTAAAGAAAAAACAATTAAATAAAGAGATCTAAAGTTTGTGGGTTGGTTATACAAATGAAAGGTGTTAGAAACCAATGCATCTGCAGTACTCCATAGGATCCTCTTGAAATATCTGTGTATTTTGGCTAAAATAGTTGTTTGCAAAAGAGCGTGGTTTAAGGATCAAACATAAAACACGGATGATAAAAGGAAATAACAACATACAAGTCAAGACTAAAACATGACAAAAATAGTCAACATATGATTCACTTCCCTTGGATTAAAACATAAAGACCATATACATAGCATTCACCAACAAAGAAAATTACAAGGGAATAAGCAAACAAATCAAATAAACAATAAGAAAGTCAATTGAAGATATAAAGAAAGTAAAATGTAAAATAGAGATGTAACTAAAACAAAAGTTATCTAAACTAAATTAAAATTCTAAGGTTATCAAAATTAAAATTCTAAAATTACTAAATTACATCTAAACTTAATTAATTCTAAAGTTACTAAATTATATCTAAACTAATTTAAATATATACTAAATTTATTATAAAATTACTAATTTAAATATAAACTATATTAATAATAAAACTACTAATTTAAATCTAAAGTAAATTAATTCAAAGATAAGTTAATTATAAAAAGAGGTGTGAAACAGAAAATTAGGGGTTCAGAGTAAAACAATTTAGATGGACTGGGTCCGGCCAGCTTATCAAAACAAAAGGGTTAGAAAACCCAAAGTTATTCAGGAGCCTCTTCTTTCTCTCTTTCAATGTTTCACGATGAAACGATAAACTTGGGTAAAAATCAGCAACAACAAGCCCCCACAAATCTTTTCTCTGTTATATCCGTTAATCGATCGCTGCTTTCATCTCATCGCAGATTCCTTCTCTGTTATTCTTAGGCTAAACATCAGTTTGTATAACTCTCGCAGGTAGACAATAACAACTAATGTTTCTCTATATTCTTTATGGCCTATTTCAGGTTTAATAGATTCACAAAAAATTGCAAGCCAGTAAAAAAAGAATAGCGCTATAAGGATACCGACTGTGACATATTCAAATGCTTAGACGGAGGTGGTGGCTACACGGTTGGGCTTGCGTGTGTGGTTGTTGTTATAATATTATTTGTATTACTGGTAAGTGTGGTTTTCTTCAGAGTCCGTTTTGTCGGTGTTGTCAGTGTTTGATGAAATTGAAGTATTGTGCATACTTGCTGCAAAATCCGTGTTGTGATGTGCTTGAGTTGTTGCAAGGTTTAATGGAGCACTGCAGAAGGTTGATCTTGGCACTTAGAGTTGGGTATGATGATTGATGAATGATATTGAAGAAGATGTTTGGTTGTGATGGAAATGGTGAGTATTGTTTAGAATTTTGTAGAAGATTGAACAAATATTAATGTAGAATTTTCTCTAATTTTTCTCTTTGGTTCCTATTGTTTTCACTTTTGCTTTTTTCCTCCCCTCTCTTTATAACAATAACTATATTAAATAGAGGATTTCCAAGAGATTGAATTTTTGAATGAATGGTTGAGATTCAAACTTGTTTCCTAAGTCTCCTTGTGACATTTTTGGTGCACTGTTTTTTCTTTTTCTTGTGGTAGTTTTGTGTGGTATATTTTAGTATAAGGGTTGGAATTTGAAAGGGAAAGAAGATGGTGGAGCTATGTGACAAAACCAACATGTCAATAGTGTTGTACAAGACATGATTTTTTTATATTTTTTGTTATGAAAAAAGAACAAAACAAAGTAGTAACAGTAATAATAACAATTAAAATAATAATAATAATAATACTAATAAAAATAATAAAAATAAAAGTAATAATAATAATAATAATAATAATAATAATAATAATAATAATAATAATAATAATAATAATAATAATAATAATAATAATAATAATAATAATAATATTATTATTATTATTATTATTATTATTATTATTATTATTATTATTATTATTATTATTATTATTATTATTGTAATTAAAAAAAGTTGGTAATAATAATAAATAAAAAATAGAAAATAGATAGAAAATAAAAGAGACATTAAATTATTATTTATGATTTTTTCTTAAATTAAAATAAATAAAAATAAAAGTGCAATTTAAAAAGATAAAAAAATAAAATACATATTCTAATAAAGTAAAAGGACTTATATATATCTTTTAGATTTTTTTTTTTTTGAAATAAATGATACCAATATATAAATTGAAATAAAAATTGATAAAAGAACATAATTTTGATATATTTTTTTGAGTAAAGAAGTAAAAATAGTAAATTAAAAAATAACATGAAGCTAAGTACATTCTTTTCTGATTTTTTAAATGGTAAAGAAATCATGAATTAAACACAATAAAAATAAAATTCAACTAAATACATAAAACGACTTCTAACGTCTCTATTTTTTGTGGTTTTTTAAAGTATAACCAGCTCTTGACTTGTAAAGAAAAGTTGTAGATGATGTCTAGAATTTGAAGAAGTTATGAATTTTTGAAAGTTGACTCGAGATTTAACAAAAATATGTCAAACCACTCGTGAACACTTGTTATGCAATGATGCAGGTGAAAGGTGGGATCTTTAGGTGAAAAATCAGGGTATGACACTAAGGCACATTTCATTCTATAAATAGAGGGATTTTTTCTCATTTCTAACACACCATAAATGTATTTGAGATACCTCTCTCTCTCTCTCTCTCTCTCTCTCTCTCTCTCTCTCTCTCTCTCTCTCTCTCTCTCTCTCTCTCTCTCTCTCTCTCTCTCTCTCTCTCTCTCTCTCTCTCTCTCTCTCTCTCTCTCTCTTATTTTCTCACATTTGCCTTAGTGATTTTGAGAGTGAAATCCCTATATTTGTGAGGTAGACTGTCGGGTGTAACGACATTTTTGTAAACTCTCTTTGTGAGTTGGTCGATAGTCAAACCAAGTAAACAGATATCTTAATTGGTTATTATAGTAAACCAAGTAAAACCTTTGTTTGGTTGGACAAGTCTATGTAGTTAAAAGTATCAATCGGTTAATGAGCTTAGCATGCGTTAAAAAGGTCTCAGTTGGTTGTGGAGGTCTCCGTAGTTAAAACCCCAAGTCTAAAGTTAGCCATTGAAAAACTCCAATCTTTGTATAAGGAGGTCCATAGGTAAATCTTGTCAAAAGCTCACATCATAGTAGAAACTCTCAGCAAGGAATTCTTTGGTAGAGAATTATGTCACTTCATTAGACCGAACCTCTATAATTCTAGTTCTTTTCTCTCATCCCTTAAAGGTTTACTTTCCAGTCATTTATTTCTGCCGCAATTCCATTTTCTTATTTCTGATGCTTTTAGTATGTTTGATTTTGAAAGCTTTTTAGACTCTTTTTGTAAAACATTTTCATTTGAGAATGGATATTCAAACCCGCACAATTCACCCCCCTCATCTTGTGTTTGGAGTCTAACATTCAACATTAACTATTCTATTTCATCTCCAATGCTGTAACAATGCCTAAAACCTTCTATCAAAAGATAAGATTGCCCTAGCTTTTATGGTAGCATCTTGAAAATTGAGGCTTTACTTCTTAGCCCATTAAATAGTCCGAGAATAGATTTTAAAGATACATTTACACTTGTTATTTGGCCACAAACAATTAAAATCATTCTCACCGTTGCATTTGGATACTAGTGGATTATGCATCAACTAGATGTCAACAATGCCTTCCTCCAAGACACTTTAGAGGATGATGTTTATATGGCTTAACCACCTGTTTTGAAAGATGCTCAATGACCTCATCATGTTTGTAACTTCACAAAGTCATCTATGGTTTACGTCAAGCACCAAGAGCATGGCATGATGCTCTCAAAACCTTCATCACTACTAATGGGTTTCACATTAGTAAGAATGATCGTCATTGTTCATATATCACAAAGGTACAACAATTGCTTATTTCTTTGTCTATTTGAATGATCTTTTACTCATTGGTAATAAAACAAAGTTTCTCACTTGTTTTATCAACTCCTTGTCCCAACGACTCTCTCTCAATAATATGGGTACCCCTCAATAATTTTTAGGAGTTGAGTTAATCCCTAGAGGTGCTGAAATGTTTCTTTCACAACACAAGTATATATACATGACATTTTGGAAAATTGTGGCATAGTTGATGCTAAACTATCACCCTCACCTCTTTCTACCACCGTTATGCTCATACTGCATGGTGGCAGCTCCACCACTGATTCCACTTAATATAGAAAAATCATATGTGATTTGCAATACTTAAACCTCACACGACCCAATGTCTCATTTTCTGTCAAAAAAATCTCTCAGTTAATGCACAAACCTACAACCCTTCATTTTCAGCACCTTAAAAGGTTACTTTGGCACCTCGAATCCACCATTAATTTTGGTATCATGCTTAAGAAACAACATTTCTTTTAACTTCTGGCCTACAGTGATGCTGATTAGGTGGCAATCTCGATGATCACACGTCCACATCTATGCATCTTTTATTTTTTGGTGGTAATCCTATCTCATGGCTCTCCAAGAAGAAGCAGTCATTAGCTTGCTCATCCACAGAAACAGAGTATCATATAAGGGCTACGGCTACACTGAAGTCATGTGGATCACCAACCTTATTTTAGAATTTCACATTACGATATCTCAACCACCTAAGCTTTTATATGATAATGTCGGATCCACCTATGTTTGTTCTAAATCCAATTCTACATTCAAGAATGAAACATGTATCCATGGACTATCATTTTATTCAAGAACATGTTCAAGCCGGAAAACTTTCAGTTAGTCATGTGTCAATAAAGGATCAAATTATGGGCCTTCTCACAAAGCCATTACCAATACCACAGTTTCAGAACTTACGAGCAAGATGAAGGTCATTAACGGTATCTTCATCTTGAGGAGGAATATTGGACCACAACCAAATTACAAGGATTCCTAATTTGTTGGAATCACTTCTTGTACCATTATGTGCATATCTCCAACTTTTATTGATTTTATTTATCGTAATTACTATTGTATTTAGTCGCATAAATTATTCTCTTTAATAGACACATACTTTTGCTTTATATATGTATATGCATTTCTATCAAATAAAACAACCTTTTGAATTATATTATCACTATCTTATAAAGAGTGGCCCTAAAGACTTACTTTGAATGTTATCCTTTACTTTCTTTTAATCTAGTGGTTTTAATTGATCATGTATATTATCAAACGAGAAAAATATTTCAAAAAATAATTATACAAATAAAATCAACTTGATATAAAAAATATTAAATATAGTGATTAAAGATTCTCCGATTGAGTAATTTTTTAATTAAATTTACAAATGTATCTCTTGAAAGTTGTGTAGTTTTCGAAATGATAGATTTTTTAAACAAAGCTAAATTTCAATCTTATAACTTTTATTTTATTTCAATATTTTTATTTTAAAAAAAAAATATTAATTTAAAATGTCAAATGTTAAAAAATAATAAACTTTAAAAATTGATTTTAAGTCCGTGAAGAAATCGAGCTGAACTTAATGAGATGAACCTAACAAGTTGAACCGAATTGTTCGTGAATTTAATGAGTCACGTTTGAGCTTAAAAAAATTCGTGTTGAACTCAGTTGAATTTTGAACTAAACTAATTCTTATTGAATCCTGAGGTGAGTTCGACTTGACTTGACTTATTTTCATTCCTAATCATCAAGGAGTGAAGAGATACTTTTTTTAAGAGGTGACTTTTTGAATTAGTTGGAGAATTTATGAATATGTAGATGGAAAATAGTGGATATCGGATAAGGATTTGAAGATGAGTATGATTGGTGGGATGAAAAACGACTCATTATTTTTTATTTCAAAATTAGTACCTATTGTTAGTGCGTGAAGAACTTTTAGTGAGGGGAAAAATAGAGAGAGAGTAAAGAAATAAGGATGTATTATTGAATTGAATTTTACAAACTGAATTACAAATTATGTCTATTTATATATTCCTAACTTGTATACTAAGTATGCTAACTAACCCTAATTGGCCTTAGGATTGGATTATTCAACTTGTATTATATCTAGTATCTCAACATACCCCCATATAATCCAAGTTGTCGAACATACGATAATCATAGTCGATCTGAACTATTCCTAATTTCTTTCTCAAATTTGGTCAATTTTTAATCCTTTGGTGACAATATCGACCAATTGTGCTACACTTGATCAATATCTTACTTCAACTTCACCTCGATTTAACTTCTCTCTTAAGAAGTGAAATCTAGCTTCGATATGCTTACTCCTTCCATGCAAAACTAGATTCTTTGCATGATTTATGGATGGCTTGTTGTTAATCTGTAGCACCAGGG